ACAGAAAAGTCACAAACTCTGAACTCTCTGAATCCCTGAATGGAGCCCTGAATTCTCCAGAGTTTGCATGACACAAAGCTCAGTTAACACTATAGGAGAGGATGACATCCAGAGGCACCTGGACAATCTTGAGAAGTGGGCCTGTGAGAATCTCACTAAGTTTAACAAGTGCAAGTGCAAGGTGCTGCACCTGGGCTGGGGCAATCCCAGACACAATTACAGACTGGGAGAAGTCACTGAGAGCAGCCCTGCGGGGAAGARCTTGGAGGAGTTGATGGGTGAGAGGCTGGACATGACCCAGCCATGAGCACTCCCAGCCCAGAGAGYCAAACGTGTCCTGGGCTGCATCCAGAGCAGMGTGGGCAGCAGGGCCAGGGAGGRGATTGTGCCCCTCTGCTCTGCTCTGCTSAGACCCCACCTGCAGGGCTGCATCCWGCTCTGGGGACCCTGCACAGGAAGGACATGGAACTGCTGGTACAGATCCATAGAAGGTGACAAAAATGGTCAGAGGGCTGAAGCACCTCTCTTAAGAGAACAGACTGAGAGAACTGGGGTTGTTCAATCYGGAGCGAAGGCTTTCAGGGAGAACTAATAGCCCCTTCCARTTCTTAAAAGGGGCCTACAAGAGTGCTGGAGAGGAACTTTTCACAAGAGTATGTAATGATAGGACATGAGGGAATGGCTTTAAACTAAATTGGTCAACCTTAGAYTAGACATTAGGAAGAAATTTTTCATTGTGAGGGAGGTGAGGCACTGGAAGAAGTTGCTCAGAGAAGCTGTGGCTGSTCCACAGCTGTGGAAGTACTCAAGGTCTGGCTGGATGGGGATCTGAGCAATCTGGTCTAGTAAAAGATGTCCTTATCTATATCCATGGCAGGGGAGCTGGAAAGAGATGATTCTTAAGGTCCCTTCCAACCTAAACCATTCTGTGGTTCTAGGAATGCTCTAATAATATGTAATTCACAATAAACTCAGGTTATTATCTGTTGAAGCATACTATGATTGTGCTGAGTTTATGCATCAGTAATTATTAGCTACAGCTCAAYAGTCTCTAATAACATAGAGTATGATTTTGCATATTAAAATATTTTGAAATTTATTACACATGAGACTCCTGGAACTATTCCCTTGAGATTCATCTCACTGGACAATTTCTTAGTGAACTACTGAGAATATAGCAAAATATTTACTATAACTTTATATAAGATATACCAACTGCTGTAAAATATATTTTAGCACTTCCTAACTATTTTGCAATATTTGTTCAGAAATTAACCATTTGGGAGTTCTACTTTCTAACTGACTACAAATTTATGTGTTGTTTCCCCGTTTTTCTTAACATAATTAAAAGTTCAGAACTTTTTAAATTACAAGATTAAAAAGGTACTTCTTGCTACTGACAATGTTGCCAACATTAAAGCAATTGATASTAAAAATTATAATGCAGGGACTATGCATTACAGTGTGCTATAAAGCAGATTTTATAGTCTTTTCTGCCTTAGAGAATTGCTTTAGTAACATTGTATATTTCACACTGGCAGAATGTATGCAAGTCCTTAAGGGCCACAGAACCACAGAAGTATTTGTTAGATTGTTATTTGGTAGATTTTTTTTGTCTAGTTGGTTATGAATTACTTTTATTCAGATATGGATATACAGTAAAATAAAACATTAAACAGACACCTGAAGGGCTTGTGCCTTTATGGAGACTGGAATTTCAAATTCAGAATACRCTCCCTGCCATTAAGTTTTTATTTCTGCTAGCTATTTTAATTCACAAAGCAACTTTTTCATGCAATAAATGTTGTATTTGGCATTTTCTAAAAGGATTCTCTCTAAACTGACAAGTTTTCAGTGGACATTTACAGGCAGATTTATTTCAGAATGCATTATACTTTTAGTTTAGAACAAAAACTGGAAATCAAGAATGTACACGGTGCTCTAATGTCAATGCAATTATTTGAGAGAGTGATCTAGTACAATTAAGAATTCTGTGTCACTCACTGTATGAACAGGTAGAGCATTTRATTTGTGTATCATAAATGTGATGGTAACTGCTTTTTTAATGCTAGGACCATTATGTTGAATCTGCATATATCTATATTTTAAAGCACTRAGGACAGAATGGTACAATCTTCTGAACCATCTGTGGAAAAAAGGCACTCTGGTCACAAAAGCTGACTCACATCTTCCCTTTAATCTTCCTGCATATTTACTGTCAAAAGACAAACTGCTTCCATGAACCAAGCAAGAATAATTTTACAATCAGCTACTCTTTACACCACTTAACCATCAAGACAGCAAGTGTTCATTTTAAGTTATTTTGTTMACACAGAGAGATGAGATTATTAAAAGAAAAAAGGAACAGAGCTTTAATGCTGATGCTTGAGSTAAAGACTAATCATTTATCATTCCCCATGAATGATATCATTTTTCTAAATGAAAATATAAGAAATCACACAACTTTAGGAACTGTTACCAACCAAGCCCCAAGGAACTCTTTTTTGAATTATGTTTAACGTGTAYCTGAAAGAACTGAACCTACAAGCATGAATCAGGTGCAGCTTAGATGGCTTCTGATTTGATTTCCTTAAATGATTATCAATACAATTATCTCATAAAACTGTCACATTTCTAGCTTTTCTTCACTGTACCTTTTTCAACAGGAGAATATATTATAATATTTGCTATAGATAAGATTTAAACTGAAACTAGAAGAGGCGCTAGCAATTTAGAGCTTCCGACAAGTAATGTTCAAAATATTATCTAAAAGCAGGGTTGCCTGTATCTCTGTATCCCCATCATGGTAAAAGCCTATTTAAAACTGTCTAAAAGAGCATCTATACTATATGTATTTCTCTAACAGCAGAAATACAGGCAAGAATCAGCCTTAAGGTCAACAACATTTAAAAAAACCCATGATTTTTCTTGAGCCAGTCTAAATACAGTACAACATGCAGAATTGTGGGAACTTGCAGGCACATATTTGTGTCATCTATCAACAAATATTTTAGATATTTAAAAATACAGGCAATAATATCAATTACTGAAGTTCTGTTCTGTGAACAGGAAAATTTGATAAAGACTTGGAAAACAGATTGGCATGTTTAGCATCTTTTGAAGTCTTCTCAAAGTACACAGAAGTTTATCTACATACTTCATTAACCTAATTCAGCTTAACACCTGTTATAAACATGAGTTAATTTTCCTTTTTTAGTTAATGCTTGTTTTTCAAGAAATTTTCTTTTTCTCTCCCAAATTAGAAGTAAAAACTTGGTATGTGAGGCTAAACCCTCTAAGCCTTGAACCAAGGAAGGAATCAAATATGTCACCTATACAGATAATTATACCTTTTTAAATAGGAAATGGAATGAATATGCATTAAGAGAAAGTTGAATGTAATTAAGACCATTAAAGACCATACAAAATCCAGAGTATCTATCTTGTATGTTGATGTTTATTCCATTTTCCAGCCTGGCAGAACTATTCAACTACTTTGAAATGCCATTAAATACTTGAGAGCTTGAAACACAACCCTCTGCAACACGGTGGATCAGCATCAYGTGACAGCAGCAAACATAGCTGCCCAGCATTGCCATCTCCCACATTCAGACCAGAGCCTTGGCAATGCCTCACTACCCTATCCCGAATGATTTCAGCTGTGCAGATACTGTAATTCTCACAATTCTCAACTCTAAGACGACAGAGTACAATGCAACTATATTTCAATGTGTTCTTCTTCCCCTACAATGTTGATTTTTCTCCAAAGAGTCAAATAAAGGATAGGAATCCCAATATGTGCCTTCACACTGACATTCATATGATTATGGCCAAGTTGGTGAGCTCTGGGCCATAAAATAACCAACTTCACCAGAATATGAAGTTGATTGAAGCTGATGCCCTGCACAAAGCAGCACAAATGCAGGCAATTACATACATACCCCAAACCTAAACCACAGCAATCTTGAAGAATATCTGTCCAGCCACAGGACTTCTGCCTTATTCCGCTCCTCCCCTAGCAAAATCTTCCCAGTGTCTTACAACTTTTCCCATACATTTGTCTCCTGTTCAAATTTTATTCCTGTTTCATCCTGATAACCTTCTCCTAGCAGCCTCCATTAACTTGCTGCCAGGGTCCAGGCCACCTTTCCCTTCATATGACAACTGTTTCCAGCTACACAGCAACTCTCAGTCCCTTCCCTACTTTTCATTCTCCTAACRTCTCCATCTTTCTCTTGCTCTATCATCTTGCCTCTCCCTTAGTGCAAGCTTCATCTCCTGTGTACGCTTACCTGCTGATCTGCTCCATATACCTTCCCCATGGCAGCTGAAAGATGTCACTACCACACGAATCAGTTTGCTTGTGCAATGCTCCTGCCCAGTTCTGTACTGAGACAGCTGAGACCTGCAACTCCCATTTAGCCCTGGCTTACCCTTCAGTTCTGGAGGGCATCACATAGTCTCTGCACAAAGTCTATGTTCACAAGCCAGCCAAAAGTAGCACTCACAAGGGGATCAACACACACATAACCTGGTTACTGCTAGGATTACAGTGCCAGAGCATTTCTAGAACAAAAAATATTCTTTGAGAGTAATAGGAGTATGCACCTGCTGTGTTTTTTTCAGAAGTTCACACTTGGCAAAACTGACAACTATTTTTACAGAGCAGAAAAACACACACTAAGGCCATTCCTTAGCAAAGTCCTAATCCTCGTTCCAAAAGTAACAGGGCAATGAGTGCTCTTGAAGAAAAGGTCAGGAGTACTATTTTTAATGACTATAGAACTTAAAGCTTCCTTCTCAAATGTTCATGAGGGGACTGTATCCAAACTACTTACATTGGTTAAGCTTTTTTCTCTACATAATGCACACATGCAATATATTTCTCAAAACATAATGAAGGCAAAGTCTAATGGATAGATTTATGTATTTAATGCTTTAACAGTTAAAAATTATAATGCAGTATTGTATTTTACCTTCTACACAAATAAATTTGTTTCTCCATTCAATACCATCAGGTCTTGGAATAGCCTTGGCCTCACGAACTGAAATCATCTGCTGGCTCCAACTAAAGAAAAGAATTTAAAAAAAAAATTAATTCTTAGTTCTAAATTCACAGTATCAGTTCACATTAAAAAAAACTGTAAAATCACTATGTCATAAGCCTGGATAACAGAGTATTTTATGATAATGAGGAATTTAGTTTAACACCGTAAGTAGGAAGCAGAAAGATTTTCCAGTAAGAATTACAAAAAGTACCTCAGAAACAGACCATGAGGTATGCATGAGTAACATATATTCACAACAGAATAATTTTTTCAACTAACAACGTCAAACTATATTTTCATGGACACGTACATCTATTTCTAAGTTCAAAAGAAATTTCAGATTCAATCTTTCAGAATTTTCTGTGGGAAGAAAAGGAAAGTGCAAACAAGTCACATATTGCATGCAGTATTCAAAAAAATACTCAATAGCATTAAGATATATAGAAGTAAGTAGCTTACAGGCCTTCCTGGTGCAAGTAACCTATTACTAGAAAGTTCCAATACTTTATACATGTTGCATTTTAGATCTGCAAGTACAGTATCTCTCTACCACTTTTTTCAGGCAGCTTTACAATAACAAAACCAGGGAACTACTACATTTAAACAAGAACACCAGCCAGATGACAGGCAGTCTTTATGATGTATCACCATCTCTATGACATATAGAGATGGCGTAACAATATTACAAATGTAATGGAAGCCAAAAAAACACTTTCAGTTTTATGTTCTTATCTACACAGACACCTTTCAGCTGCTCTTAACGAAAAGAGAGCAGCTCATCCTGAGTGTCATCACATGCCACATACAGGGAAGTTAGGGGACTGGGCCCAGCCAGCAGGGGTTTGTGAGAGGCAGATCCTGAATGAACAACCAAATCTCCTTCTATGATACAGTGGATTAGGGAAGGGCTGTGGATGTAGTCTGCATGGACAGATAAGTTTGAAACCATCTCCCACAGCATTCTCCTGGAGAACTGGCAGCTGATGGTTTGGACAGGCGCATTTTTCACCAGGTAAAAACTGCCCGGATGGCTGGGYCCAGAGTGGTGMTGAGTGGAGTTCCATGCAGCTGGTGGGCACTCACCAGTGCTGTTCCCCAGGGCTCAGTACTGGGGGCAGTTCTGTTTAATGMCTCCATCAGTGACCTGGACAAGGGGATCGAGTGCACCCTCAGTCAGTTTGTGGGTGACACCGAGCTGGGTGGGAGCTGATCTGCTGGAGGGCAGGAAGGCTCTGCAGAGGGATCTGGCCAGGCTGGATCATGGGCCAAGGCCAAKGGTRTGAGGTTCAACAAGRRCCAGGGCCAGGTCCTGCCCTGGGGTCACAACAACCCCAGGCAGTGCCACAGGCTGGGGCAGAGTGGCTGGAAAGCTGCCCACAGGAAAAGGACCTGGGGGTGCTGGTGACAGCGGCTGAACATGAGCCAGGGTGTGCCCAGGTGGCCCAATGGCATCCTGGCCTGGATCAGCAATGGTGTGGCCAGCAGGGCCAGGGCAGGGATTGTCCCCGTGTACTCAGCACTGGTAAAGCCACAGCTTGAGTCCTGTGTTCAGTTTTCAGCCCCTAATTACAAGAAACACATCAAGGTGCTGAACTTTGTCCGAAGAAGGAAGCTGGGGAATGGAGCTGGGGAAGAGTCTAGAACACATGTCCTGTGAAGAGCAGCTGATGGAAATGGGGTTTTTTAATCTTGAGAAAAGGACGGTCAGGGAGGACCTCATCCCTCTCTACAACTGCAAGAAGGTTATAGCCAGGGGGCTGATCTCTTCTGCAAAGCCTCATGAAAAAGAAGAAATGGCCCTAAACTGCACTGTTCAGATTAGATACTTGTAAAAGCTTTTTCACTGAATGAGTGCATAGGCATTGGAACAAGCTGCCTAGGGAAGTGATGGAATCATCATCTCTGGAAATGGAATATGGGAATATGTTGAAAGGATGGTTATGGTGGTACTGCATTGGGAGTCGGATTAGGTGATTTTAAAGGTCTCTTCTAATCTTGATGATTCTGTAAACCAAACCACATCAGTGAAACAGCTGGATCACCAGTACACCATCATATGTTCTGACTAAATGAGGCTTAGAAATAGCTGGGCAATGTACTACCAGCTGTACTGGTCTTATGTGCCCCTGACAGTGGAGCTAGGCTGGGTACATCAACTGCCTGCAGTAAATCTGTAGATATCAAGTCTGTAATTCATCAGTTAAATTTGGAAGTACTCTGTCCTCCCAAGACCACAGATCCACTGTTATAATTCCATTAAGTCACCGATCAAAAGACAGCTAAAAATCTGTGATTGTAATTCTACAAATTATCTTGAATACAACTCACAATTACAGTCACGTGTGGAAGTCAGTTGTCTGAAAAAAATACTTCCACATAATGTGCTCATTTAAAAAATAAGACTAGGACTTATTTCAAACAAATGCAGGACACAGCACATGAAGAGATTTAGGATACTTCAGCGTGTATATTTAGATTTCTCATTGTATATTCTTTAGAAAATTAGTAAAAATTTTTATAATTTCTAACATTCAATGTAAATTAAAGCTTCCATTCTTACCCATTATCTTTCCTCTTATTAGTTCCCATAGTGGACTACCTTTGCAAGAATTAGAAATGAATTCTAATGAAGCATCAAATACTTTCCTATCATGTCTTTTAATAAAATCTATCAACACAGGCTTAATTCAGATTAATTGCTCAAAAAACCTCAAACRCACACAGAAAGACAAAGTCCAAAACCCCTGTGCTTAGAGCTTCAAACAAGGCTTAACTGCAGCTCAAGAACACTGGTTGTGAGCAGAAGCTCACAGTTTGCTTTTTCTAAAAGATTATTTAAAAATTAAAGATCCAGGCCAGTGAAAGTGAAATAAAAAGAAAAGAATGTCATGCAACGAAGTATTTGATCTRTATTTGGTTTAACCAGGCAATAACTAGGACCGGTTTCACTTGAAACAGTAATTCTTCTMTTGAATTCCTTTTTTTCCCAGGCTATACTTGACCCCTCAGCAAAAAATAAATGCAATTATAATACAGTTGCATTAAACAAAGAGCATCAAAAAAGTGGTATTTCTTGCTGTTTAAAGAACCTTTTATTAAAATTTGAAAACAACTACTTAATCTGATAGCCTCACGATACTCTCTTGGGACCATAATCGTACAGATTTAGAAATTAATCACAAATAGCAAATTATTGTGCATCAATTTTAACCACTTTCGCTTGCATATAATACTTCATTGTTGCAAACACAAAGCAGGTATTCTCCCCACACATATTTTCAATCCATAAGTTAACAATGCCATTTAAACAGCAATTTCAATTATCCATTATTTTTGTTGTCACTGACTGCATTAGGTATGTTATCTTCTTGGAGAAGGCAAGTATTTGAAAGAAAGAGACTAGGCATTTCCAGCTATGACTATAGTACAAACAGAATAAAACGCTTATCTTTTCCAGAGCATTCTTAAAAATCAAAGCCACCTGCATAAATGCACTTGGATGGGTAAAAGTTGCAAATATTTCATTTAACATAGTATAAAAAATGATCCCTTTATTACCTGATGTAACCAAGCTTTTACCACGTCCACCAAAAAAAATCAGTGAATGATCTCAAACAACTGCTACTTAACTAGCAATAGTAAATTTAAGGGAAGCAATCACAAAGTACAAGCTCTAGGTTCCCTAGCAATAAATTCAGGGAAGCAATGCCTTGCTTCAAGGTCTCAGTTTGTAAGGAGAGTGCCAAGTGAAAACCTGCTCCCTTCACTCAAAGCTGCAGAAATGAAATCAGACACCTCCTTCAGAGGGGCTGGTAAACATTGACCAGTTTCCAAATACTTGCTTTGGAGAACATCTGCAGTTTCTTACTTGATAGAATTCACTGCATTACCAGCAGATAGTTTTAAATAGTTAAAGTTAAAATCAAGTCATAATCATAGCCAGATGTATCATAAGAAGCAGTACACAGACTTGAACTCTTAGGGCAAAATAATTAGACAACAAAAAAAGCATAACAAGTTTTGCCATATATGGTGTATTATTGCAATGGATACAGCAATTTCGAAACCACATTTCTTTGGGGACAGGCATGAAGTAGAATACCAACGACTTCTTATGGACACACTGAAAACCCCAGAATAGCACTGTGGAAGGGACACTGTATTAATGTATGGCAATAAACAATTTTCTGAAACATCTTACAGTCTAAATAAATAAAACTGTTTAAAAGCATAAGGGAAAATAAATACAGCATGAAGACTTATGCATGACTGCACAGGATGCAAAGCTCCTATTTCTTCCTTTGTTGTACTCTTTTGGCCCATCCTGTCCTCCATCAACTAAAATGAACCACAGATTTTAACTGAAATATCTAATGGCCTTTGCTAGAGTGAAGGAGAAGTTTAGAACTTTGTATCTCCATCTTCTCTTAACTTTCTGACCATAATTTGTAAAATCAATCAGCAGTTAAACATTCTAGGCAGGTGTCTTCAATGAGCATTCTGTTCAAAATTACCATCTTTACATATGATCTGATCATTCCTGATTGCATGCAGTTCATTTAGCAAAACAGTCCCTGTGTATCAAAGCTGGCAGTGCATCCTACTCCACAGACAGGAGCCTATAAAAATCACWTTTACAAAAATGGAAGTCACATGCTCTGTGGTAATCTTCATCAAACCCATTACAGACCAATAGCAAAAATTCAGTGGCTTGGTATAGATTATATAGCCTAATTTAACAGTCACAGCGTCTGAAATAGAATCTCAAAATTTGGATGCATAAAGACACTAATCAAAGTTTCACAGAGAAAACAAACACTTAAAAATTACTGATTATACCAAAGAAAATATTCAGCCTACTCTGGAGTAAAACATTAGCTCTTCCATGAAAGGCTGAACTAAGAGAGCCCTGTGTTGTGYGTATTTGCAAGCTGGACATGAATCAGCAGTGCCCTGGCAGCCAGGAGGGCCACCCGTGTCCTGGGGGGATCAGGCACAGCATCACCAGCCGGGCAAGGGAGGGGATTGTCCCGCTCTGCTCTGGTCTGGGGAGGCCTCACCTCAAGTGCTGGGGACAGTTTTGGGTGCCACAATAGATGGACATAGAATTATTGGAGTGTCCAAAGACATGGATCATGAACAGTCTTGAGGTGAAGCTGAGGTCACTTGTTCTGYTCAGCCTGGGGAAGAGGAGGCTGAGGGGAGATCTCACTGCARTTACAACTTCCTTGTGAGGAGAAGAGGAGGTGTAGGCACTGATCCCTTCATTCTCATGACTACTGACAGGACCACCTGAAGCTGGGTCAGGATATTAGGAAATAATTTTTCACCCAGAGGGTGGTTGGACACTGGAACAGGCTCCCAGGGAAGTGGTCACAAAACCAGTCTGACAACAGTTCGAGAAGTGTTCGAACAATGCTTCAGGTACATGGTGACTCTTGGGAGATGATATTGCGCAGGGYCAGGAGCTGGTCTTCAATGATCTTGATGGGTTCCTTCCAATTCGGCATTTTCTATGACTGTGTGATTCAGTGTATTTAATTCTTACCCTCATTCTCATTTGTACTGATGTTTCCATAAGCACCTTCAAAGCGAAAGATCATGGGGCTAGCATGATGCTACTTTTGCTTTCACTGGCTGGCTATCATACACACACAGAACATTTTAAGCACCAAGTTCATGGTCCTCCCTATGGTGCACTAATTTGTCTTCTCCAGTCAATGAAACTATATGGAATTTTACTATCTTCAAGATCCTATTCCCAACCCTATTCCTTTCTAACAGGACTTATAGCTGTCAGGGCTAAACAGATAAACAGTACACCTGACTAAATTTATTTCTGTAGCAGAAAGAGTTAAAAATAATATAGGTTGCTGCATTAAGTGCGTATTTCCTCAAAAGACTTCTCAGCTATGTAGTAGCATTTTCAACACAGGAATTCCAATGGCTATTTTTACTGGAATTTTTTCTTTCTTTTCTTAAAAAGAATATCACCAGTAAAATGTTTAAATACTTAACAGACACTGAACACTAGAAGAACAAGGTATTTTTTTAATTTGGTTTTTCTTTGAAACATTTCCTTTTCTTGACATCAGCAACTGTCTACCTTCACTATCTACTTTTTCAAGCTTTCTTCACCCAGAAGCTCCTCTGTGCATCTGTGAATAAATTTAGGTGATTTTTTTTCCTGATTTATAATCATCACAAAAATAGTATTCAGGGATTGCCATCAGTTCAAATACTGACCTTGCAGAATTTTTGGTCTGCATATGTCTTAGCATATTCTGTCTAACAGCAGAAAAAAAATGAGGTCTTTCTGGACCAGTCACCAACTTTGGCAGAAATCTGGTCTTGACTATACTCACGAGCACCCAAATGCACAAAAGTCAAACTAGGTATTTTTCAWGCAACTGGACAAGATTATCTCCACTACTTTGCACAGGCAAACCAGAAAATTCTTCCTTTGTGAAAGAAGTATTTACTTTTATTTATGAGAAATTTAACAGCTTGTTGTACAGTCAAGTAGTAAAACCTTCATGTAGTATCCAACATAAATTAAGAATCTGGAGGTTATCCTCCAGCAGTGTCTTGTCATTTGCCTCTTTAGCAAACATCACTTTGTCAGCTGAAAAGACATGTACTCAGGAGAAATATTTCAGACAAAAGACCATTCTCTGATCTGCAGAGGTCATTGAAAGGAAATCTCTTATCTGAAAGTATCTCAGTCAGGCTTAAGAATGCACAAAATGCAGTTGGTTCATGAATTACTGCAGGCCATATGGATTTAGTTTATATGTTTCACATGTGATATACACTCCAGAAATGTTCAGATGATTTTATGATCTTTCACTTCTCCTATTAAGTAAAATATGAACACCTCAAAAACTGTGAGTATCCAATTGTATGTTTTGTTCTCCTTCCAAGAAATGGAGATGATACACATGCACAGAACAATAACATACATGAACCAACTGCCTCAGAACTAAGTTACTTAGAAATCTTTAAGCTGAGATACAACCATCTGATATTTTATACGTACAATCATTTTTCCTAAGGATTTCAGAAAAACATGATTGACAATTTGGAAAGACAGTTATAACTTTAGGTTTTCTCAGATGCCCTCACAATTTTAGCTTCTCCTCCTCGTATACAAGGAAGACCACATGCCAAAATTAAACTCAGATTCTAGCACACCAATAATGTGAGTGAAAAAACTATACATGGGAGAATTCTTCACTAGGTGAGGCCTGCAGAGATATATTCTGATCAAAATAAGGAGCTACCTGGCCAGTAACCTCCATTGTTTCAGGGTGACAAAAGACAAGCACAATCATTAGGGTCCAAATAATTAATATCACAATTGATACCTTAAATGACAACTAAGAACAGATGTTTCTCAAACATGGATAGGCAGTATAGAATAGTGCAATGTAACGAGATCCATCAATTTTTAAAGGACAAAGCTCTCTAAATTTTGGCAGCTATTTTACAGGAAAGAATGCCTAGCTAAGCAGAGAATATCAGGTACTTTACCAGCATTCCTGTTGTCATTTCGTCTTTTCACTCATTTCCTCTCTCTCAGCTACAAATTGTGCAATGCTGCTTTTCTTTTTCTCCGAGGGCTATAAAGTGTTGCTATGTTGAAGAGAAGGAATCAAAGTTCCATAGCTTCTAAACCACTAAGATGAGCTCATTACTTACTCAAATTCTGTGGCATAATATTTGAAGAAGCCTAGTAGCAAATCTCCAAGGCTTGATCCATTTTTTGAGATGTAAGGAGGAATGGTACGTGGAGCTTGATGAACAAGATGCAACTGCATAGTAGGATCGAAACATTCCTGTCAAAATAAAATCAGTTTATATATATATATATATATATATATATGTATATACACAGGGCGCCTTAACCTAGATGCATGTATTCTTCACAATAAGAAAGCTGCCTATCACTTGCTTATTAGAAGTTCAAGGACAACTTACAAGCCAAGGACTATTTTTCTCCTGCTCTGTTGAATACTAGTTACTCCCCCTGAATTCAGGCAGAATCATCTCGCACAGGAGCATGTGGGACCATCCCTTGACTTCTGCTTACTAAGGAATTTTAACATGGAAGAATCTTTGAATTGGACTGGCATCTAAAACCACAAGAGCAGAGAAGCTGAGTAAGGTGGCCTGCACTGAGTTGACTGCAGTTCAGCTGAGATATGGTAGGAAAAATCAGTGCACCTACTGGCAATTTCCCATACCTGAACTGAAGTACAGAGACAATCCAAAGGGAAGGCTTAACCTTTCTCCCACAGCATACAGTTAAAAATTGCACATGAAACCCACTGGCTATAAAATGAACCAGCATCCTCCCACATAATGACATAAAGACTGCAGGCTAGACTTCCTCTAGCCAAGAATTTAAAAAAAAAAAAATCATTACTGTGAATTTATACAAAACACCTGAACACACAGAATGCTGCACTTCAGCTCAAGTATACTTTTCTGSAGAGGGGAAGAGGGTGGGTATGATGGGAATACGAAAAAGTCAGGTTTGCTATGAAAAGAAGGGCCTATTGCCAGCTTAAAAAGGAATCTATACAACACTAAATAAACATGGATTTAGAACTGACTTGCTGTTTCAATGTCCACTGCATCCTTTAGATACTGCTTATAGACTGTGGTACAGAGAAGAAAACACACCTTCTCTTCCTAGGAAAACAATTTTTATAACTTGCTAATACCTTGTTTTAACACGATTTTACATTAATGTTATGTATTTTACTGAAAATGAACTCAAGATATACAGGAGCAAACTGTAGCTCACATAAAGAAACACATTTATGTAAATTTAGGAAACTATTAACTCATTACTGTATCTCCTTTCCCCTCTCCACCCATTCACTTGTTAATTTTAAGAGTAATATCAGGTGTGATTCAAACTTTATAGTACTAGAATTGCACTAGAAGCACTACACAGTGTAATACTATTTTCATGTCTACAGCTGGCAGTGCTTCCTCTGAGAAAAGTACTGTTAGTGATCAAACCAGTAGGACTACAAAGTTCGAGACTCCCATCCTCTTCTGCCAGCCCCAGCAAAAACTTCCTGGAACCTTGTACAACATCTTTTAGGGAAAAAAAGCCATTCTTCTCTAGAGACAAAGAATGTCAAAAGCTGATCTCATATGATATAATGCTACATACACAATATCATTTTTGTTAGCAGAGATCAGMATTTAACAGCTTAATAGTTCATCAGAAGACACCAAAACAATGGAAAGACATGACATAAAAAGAAGGCATGTGGTAGACAAAGATCCAGAAAGGGAGGTGTTGTTCCTGTGCCATACAGTATATACAGTTTTTACCCTAAAGTTACTCAGAAAAGTACTACAGTAAAAGTCACTTCTTGCCCACTTCCACAGAAAGCTACAGAAGAGTCACAGCAACTGAATTTAGAATAGCACAAAGGAGGAGGGAAAAGGAAGAAGAAAAAGGGCCACTGAACCTCCAAAAAATACAAAACCAAAGTGCAATGAAATTCCTACAACAGATGTCTACTAAGACTAGTAAGTAAATGTTTGGAGGCATTAGAAGAGAACAAGATGGTTTTTTTTCATGCCTGAGAAATTCTCAACATCAAGAAAACCCTACAACCACAGTGAGACTAATAYCCTCATCAGCTAAAAAGTTAGACTTTATTTTTTTTCCTAAAAATAAATAACCTATTTTTTTACCAGCAGGCAATAAGATGTCAGACAAATCAAAGTTTTCCTAACTCAGAAAGGCTTTTGCTTTCAAAAACATACACACATATTGTTCTAGACATATGCTCTAGTGAAAACACAAGATCCAGTCTATTGCAGATAACCATTAAAATCCCCAATCACCTAATTTAAGAGACACATACAAAGAATTCTCATTTCTACTTAGTTTAGTGGTTATATCACTATGAAAGTTGCTCTTAAAAAGACAACTAAGTATTGCAAAATAGAAGGCATAATGGATATTACTTTTCTGGAGGAAAGTTAGATTTATTAGCAGTAACTAAAACAACATATTAATCACATGTCTCTGATACTGTTAGTAGACTGATTTTTTTAAGCACTGTGAGTTGGTGATAACAACATACAAGACAAAACCCAGTATCTCATCTCTCTGAAACAGAGAATTTGTTATGTAAGAAGTTGCTATTACCATATTAGAAAGTTCTACATGTATAACCAAATTAATTACTACTTCAAATTGAGCAGTTGGAAGATCCAATGAAAACTTCTGTCAAGATACACCAATATTCCATAAACCTATAACGAACAATGCAATTTAAGGTAATTTCTTAATAAAGCAATCACTCAGTGTCCAGTGAACAAGAGGTCAGATCAGTTACAGGATACCTAGACTCTTTATTTTCTGCTTTGCCACAGACAAGCCATGATAATCCACTAGCTTCAACTCATCTCCATCCATCTGTTGTAAAACAAGGATAACAGATTTTCCTTCCTGCTAGCGGGACTTAGGGAAAAACTTGACAAACAAAACAGCTTACAGATTCTGCATGTAAGTGACGTTGTTAAAAGAATGGAATTACAAAGCATCCTTCAAAGTAGGCTTTATTTTCATAACTTGCTCTAGAAGATTCAGCTTCTATTAAAACTAGTCCCTATTTCACACCCTGTGTTTTTACCTCAATCCATCTTAACAGACAGAAAGTAGATTCAGGATCTGATTGAGAAACAAATATAAATGAAGTATCCATTATCTTAAGATATCCCAGAAAATGGTACTCCAAAGTCTTTTTCCTTTTTTGCTTGATCTCTAATATTTACCTTGATTGGCTGATTTCTCAATAAACAATAGTATCCAGTAACATTCTTCATGTTCAAGTTACATAATGCTCTTAAGTATGCTCATTCCATCTTACACACTGAAGAGGAACACAAGTGTACATCAAAATAAAATTTCAGTTTTAATAACCTGAGTATAGTAAGTTTATTCTGAATGGACAAGCTTTCTAGTTCAAAAAAATTTAGTGGTAATGTCAGCATAGTGTCTTGACATTTTTGTATAGTCACAGACATAAAGTACCTTTCTCTCCAGTCCAATAAATGAGTATTTAACTCCGGTTCATACTTTCTTAAAATGCAACTTAGAATGAAGCAAACAATGTCCTTACAAGGACTGACTCCCATGTTGAGCACCATTCCACCTACTGCCCCACCCTTAGCAAGACATGACGCTGAGGAAGCACAAACAAAAATGTGCTCATGCTAGTGTCCTTCAAGGTCACCATCCAGAGCACTCATGGAAAGTCAATTCCATGCTGATTTAAGCTAGTACACCAGACTGCTTGAACAGTGGAGAGTCAGTCACAAGTTTCCTTTTGAGGCCAGTGACCTCAATGTCCACCAGCCATRATGGCTTAATCTACCACAGATTCTCTAGAGCTAATCCATGAATCCTGACTTGAAGGAATGTACTATATAGACTTCAAAACTGATGAACGCACTTTGTGGGCTATTGTCATCTACCTTATCTGGCTAGGAGGCAAGGAAAGCTGCAGAATGAGGCCTCACATATGATGTGGCCTGACATTCCCTCTAAACTAGTGGGTGCAAAACACATCAGCTGGGCGCCAGCTACAAACTTCTCYATGGCAATAGAATGCTAAAGTGGGCAAATCTGGTGGCTTTCCAGGACTTCTCACCCTTCGTATTTGCAGCAGGGATATACTGAGATGCAGAATCTGTCTTTTGTCTCCTCCTCAATTTAAGCATGTCTCTCCTATATGGCACCAACAATATAAAACAAGCTTTTCCTCCAGATCACAGAATATTTTCAGGCTGCAGATTTGATTTTGAAGAACTGTAGGTAGGTGTGTATAGGGAAGATGCAGTATGATTGTGTAGTTTTAGTATAGAGACACAACTCTGACCAGCTATAACCACAAGAAAACATATGGTTTCTTTTGATACTGACATTTGCCTGTGCTTTTTAATTATTAATGCAAGCCACAAGACGAAAATAATTTGCTGCATTTTATCATTTTAAATTCTTTTAAAACATAAGTATTCAGAGATTTTAAGTTTCACAATTTTTAAACATTTAACTATATGCCTAACAGAGAGAGTAGATCAACATTACATTTGCAATTTGGTTTTATAGTGAGCATGTATTAAATATTACTTTAAATTTGTTAACAATCCTAGAATACTTAGTTCGTTATCCAAATGTAAGATAACTAACAAGAACAACAAAGCCAAATATTATCTGTATCAGAACAGGGCAAAAGTGCAACTCTTACAGAAGTGCTCACCTGGAGGTGACTTAGCATTTTCACAGAACACAAGACAAGACTTTGCATTTAGTACAAATTCAATAGATTTTTCAGCTTATGATTTTATATATGCTTGCTTTAATGATTTAAGGCATTAGCATTTGTGTAGTGTTCTGAAGGCCTTCATGCAGTTCAAACACTACGAGTATAAATGTCTGGATTATAAACATAGAGGAGTCAAAATTTGCCAGTTCTTATTCTCTGAGTAACATGCTACACAAAAATCAGGATACTAGAGCACATGACCTTTAAGGAAAAGCAGTTAGCAAATTCAGCAATTCAAAAACCTATGAGACAAAGCTAAGTGTACAAGAAATGAAAGATAGCTTCAAATGCTTTTCAGCACTCCCAATGAAGGAACTAGAAGATATAGAATACCATTAAAAATCAGAGGAACATATAAAGACCATAAAAATATAGCACAGCTATCCCTAAGCAGATTTACAACACAGAAATAAAACTGTAGTGAATTATTGCTCAACGCTTTCTTCTGCATCTTGATTATCCTAATTACCCAAAATGGCTGACACCACAGTATTTTCTCCCTGATGTACAGTGTCATTAAATATTCCCATTTCAGCATTACACGAAATACACGTAAAAGACGGAATGGCTTTCTTATACTAGCTCAGCACAATTGTCAGCAACCAATTAAAAAAAACCCCATATACAGACAGGAACACCAAACTMTATCAACTATGAAGAAAGAAAAATTTTAGAAGTGACACATGAGAAAAAARATAAGGAGGAAGGAAACAAGGAAATTCTATAAATAAATTACAGCATAAAACTATTCAGCAATACTGTTTTTGTGCACAGGTGAATATTTAGGAAGGCAGTTCTTCTAGATAATTTTTGTTGAATTAAATCTTACTAATAACACTCCTAATTCCAGAGCGATCAAAGCATACTGAGTTCTCCAGAAATTAACATAGTATGATCTGGAAATATTAGCAAAGTCCCAAAAAAAAGTGTTTTCTTGAGTGACTGAAGTCAAATATTGTAATTTCTCAAGTTTCCTTAGTAAACATGTATCACTTTCTGCTCACAGAAATCTCAGGCAACTCAACAGCTGTGGGAGGGCATGGAATTCTGAAGCACCAGAGTTGGATCAAAAAACACTACTTAACACATTAAGAAAGAGGAACCAGAAAGTTACAGCTGAAACAGCAAAGAGAGCAGGACAGTGGTTTTCATTAGCACTTTCTTCTAACTCTGTGCAATCCTCTCACACATATCAAAATTTTCATTAAATTATCAAAAGCAGCAAATAATCTCTTTCACACTTAGTATATCAATGACCTAACCAACAGACTCTATTCACCTTAATTATTTGAGATGGTTAAGGATTCATATATTTAGATAACCAGGGTCACACACATATATGACGTAGTAAATCSGTAAGAAACACTTACTGGGTAGTTTTTTTGGAGGGATGGAAGGATGGGTTCAGGTAAGGCTATAAAAAAAAAGTTTAAAGTTGCAGTGATTCATGTAATTTACAGGAGACAGTATCATATCAACTACGTCAAATCAAAGAGTTCAATTGAAAATCTATCTTAGAAACATTTATCAAGAACTTCATATTCATGTATTTTGTAAAATAATTTATTCAGCAAACATTTTTGTTACTATATTTCATACTATACAGTACTACAGGAACTTTATCCAGCAAATACAAGCTCTATATACACTACATGTAAAAGGCATGAAAAATTCTACAGCAGCTGGGTACAGTTTCATTTCTGAAATTCATATTAATTGATTGCTATAGGAAAATCATCTAGATTCCCTAAATGAAAAATCAGAGCTTCACTCATCTTTTTTTCTTTATATCTAATATGAGTCCCTGAACTGCAGGTACTAAAAGGGCAGTCTATAGGTACTGCAAGAGCACGTTTTTCAGCTGCCAAGTTACATACTGAATGTCCAAATTTAATCTACTGAAGAAATGCCCAACACATTTAGTAGGCTTGCTAGTAAAATTCCTACAAAATACAACAATAAATATAGTCTAATAGTATTAGCAGGTCTGCTAAATGGCAAACGTTATAAAGATTATGCCGTCATTGATGATACTGTATAATGATTTATTGACTTTGTGTTAACAAACACAAACATAAATTATCTAAGTATCTGTCACTTTTGTGAAAATCATGAATTGGGAGTTCATCTATTGAACAATATAAATTAGAGAAAAACAATCACCCAGATTAAGTGGTCCTACAGATAGATCAAAATTCAAAAGTATTTACATCCCACTCAAGCAGCTGCAGAACTGTCAGAACATTCCTAACACTAAAGCTTTAACATCATGTCTTCAGTATGGTTTAAGAAATTGCTCTACATCACTGCCTAGGGAAAAAATAAATAAATTCAGTAGACAGATCTTGGACTTGGGACTTAGTTCACCCTTCAACAAGGTCTTACAGATGAAGAGATGATAAAGAATCCTTTGTCCATAGAGACTAAGAATCAGAACAGTGCAGTTCTTAGAATATGCTTCAGGTATCTTCAAAGAGTAGAATACATTAACTATTAGAACTGCAAAGAAAATTTTCACAGCTGCTTCCAAACCATTTTAATTTTGTTTGTGGGTGTTTAGAAATATTGGCTCATATTTCTGCAACATTTTGGATAATTTTCATTCTCTACAACATTAAATTAAAAGGCAACAAAATCTGAGAATGTAAACAATCAAGGTATGGTATTTAGTTGTGTATGTTTTACAAAGCTTTACTAAGAGGATGGATGGTAGGGGAAAAATTACCACTTAGCACTAGCATTTGCCCTATGTGCATCCTTTTCTTACGGTATTAATTAATCAGTTAAACCTATTATCTGGAAGAAAGTTCATGCACAAGATACTGATGCATCTACAAAATAAACTCAAGCCACACTAAACCTGGGTCCAAAGACATCCACATGAGTGTAGTAATATGGAAAYAGAAAAGAAATTCGCCTAGTAAAGGCAGGGACACTACTGCAAAAGAAAGGTGTTCTTTTTTTTCTCCACAGTATAATCAACAAAAATATCATTGGGAGTTCTAGGACACAAGCTACTTTCAGGATCATCACATGCACACAGAAGGGAAGAAAAGTTTAAAATCTGCATGAATAAAACATCAGAACCTAAAAATCTGATACCTAGATACATATACAGAGCCACCCCTCAGGCCCCTTTTTTATTTTTGCTTTCTCCCACTCCAAACAAGGCTGAGGAAGAACAGGTAAAAGGCTCTTCTTTGGTGTGTGGACTGCTGGTCTTCCTTCCCCGGGCAGTTAACTAATCACAGTTTTGCATGAAAAGGATTATTTGAACCTTTTCTTCCCCTTCCCTAGAGAGCTGTGGCAGCTGCCACAGATGACTAGAGCAAATGCCCTTACGCATTTTTATGAATCAGAACTTGAGTTTATTTTATAGCTACACAGTGTCCTGCAGGTACATTTTCTTTCAAAACTTTCGAAATTGGTAACTGCCTCTAGAGAAGAGGTCCACTTGTTAAAGACAAATGCAACACTAAGGAAATGGAGTAAACTCACTTCACCTTCAAAAATTTCAATATAGAACATGACTACTGATTATTTTATTAAAGAGGAAAGCTACACAAATACGAACTTAAAACAGACAGTTTCAACATATAAAATAATACTTACTCTGTAAATAGTGCAAAACCATCAACACAAGACTATAGCTGTTTAAAGTGCCACGACTGGCATCATTTATCTCATGAAAACTTGCCCACTTCTTAACCACAAGTACTAATGGACGAACTCGATTCTCAACTGCAAGTAAAATAAACACATCTGAAAAAAAGTACATTTAGCTAAACAGTAATTAATCAACATTTGCTCCTACCTGATCAACATGGTATTTTTGAAATCTAAGGTTACCTTTTGCAGGCATTTTATAGAATTTACTTACTTATTCTACAACTACTATCCACCCAATAAAAATCAAACCAAATTATTTGCATTTTAAAACAACCTTTTGAGTAATAAGATCCACAGTCACATAACAAGAAGTATATCAGGAAATTTGCAGTGTCACTTTCTACTTCTAAGGTCTATCCAGTTCATTGTACTATTTTCCCTGAATTAACTTGCTGCTAGGACTAAGCTATTTTTTTTATTTAGCCTACACAGACTTGGAAGGCAGGGAAAAAAATTCTCATAGTTGGAGGACACAGCTTACTCTTAAGTTTACATGACAGCATAACCATGAGAGCAGTAACCCCTGCTTACAAACATAAATTTTAAATTTGCTTCATCCTCAATAGCTTTTTATGTAGATGATATGTTAGATACAGTATCTCTTTAAATCAATAGACATGCATTTCGTAAGGAAAGTCATAAATATTCCAGATACGATCTCCTGAATCTCTGGTGAAAATGGATAGCTTTCCAATTAAGATCTTAATCTGTTGTAGGTAGCCAAATAGATAGCTTTCTAATCAAGATATTGATCTGTTGTAGGTAGCCATCACTTACCACAAACTCCCGAGACTCTGTAGCATACTTAATTTATTATTTCCAGGTACACAGAAGCATATCATCTGTTTAGTCAAGTGCCTTACAATGGCCTTAAAAGCTTATACATTCTGGAGTATCTTTTCTAACCTCACATCATTATACAAAGTTTTGTATTTTGCATATCAGGACATGAGGACAAAAGGTGTCCTACAACTGCACCAGTGCAGGGGCTGTCTGTTATTCTGAGAAACTATCAAACATGATTTTCTCACAATACATTCACAGAGTGGTTCAGCACACATGCCTATATAAGTGCTACTCTTCTCATAATGAATGTCCTGCTAGATCTGGTAGACTTTTGGAAACAACCTAACACTTTAAAACCAATCACCTTACTCCTTACGTTCACCAGTGGTTAAACTATAAAATAAAACTTAGTACACCAACTGTGAGATGCCAAAGAAGTACTGTACAGACACCATATGAACATGCATTAATTGGAATAAGGTTTTTCCATGAGAGAAAATTGCCAACTGGTTTCAGTTTCAAACACAACTATCTTGTGTGTGTCACAGTAGAAAAGATGGTTTTTAAGTTGACCTTATTTTGAGATATTAAATTTTGTCTGCTGGTGCCTGGAATTAGTGTATAAAAAATAAGTGCGCAATATGCCCAGCAAACTTCGTCTGATATCCTGATACAAGCTACCCCTCAAGAAAGTGCTCAGTAATGTTATTTGCTCAAAGCTAAAAAGCCCCATTTTCACTACTTCAAAACTATCTAGCAAAAGTTGCAGACTTAATCATAGACATGCCTCCTTCAGAAAAACACTACTAAAGTAACAGAACAGACTTTGCATTCTAACTCTGCCKAGTCTACCTACATTTTCTGTGGACATTCTCTTTCACCTCGCCTCATCATCTTCGATGTTTTCTACAGCACCTACGCACCAAAACAGAAGGACTAGCTTCTAAACAGACTGAAGAGCATATTTGGAGTTTTAGCTTTTTTATCATGTTCACTAATATAATTAGTCCCTTGTTTACCTGAGCATCTAATTTGTTCTAACGGAAAAGAAAGCAAATGCATTTTCCACATTAAAGGTAATTCAATAATTTTTTTCCCATGGAGGTTGAAGCTCTTCAACCACATATTTAAGTGAGAAGGATAATACATATAAGACTATTCACTCTTGCTGATATGACTTACAAAAGTAAGGGAAGAGACAATTTAATAAAAGTTACATTTTGTTTTGTTTGCCTTATGTCAACTGAGTTTTCTGGTCCAAGAAAAACTAGACAAGCTATATGCTTGACACATTTGACTATTTCCAAAGGTCCAAAACATTGAGAAGATAATATTTTCAACTACGAGTCTCCTTTCACTACTAACTCACTCCTGGACCTCAAGAAAATAACATTTAGCTTTCTTCAGGAAACACAAAGTTTAATTTTGCTGGCCTTAAAAAATTGAGTACCATAGCGGAACAAAAGTAAAAATGTAAGACACTAGGACCTCTTCCACTGTTCTTTTCCCATCTGGCCTTGTCTGCCCCACAGTGTATTTCTGAGAAAAGTAAGAACAATTTGTGACAGAAGCTACAAACAAATACATCAACGTTGGACTTCGTGAAGTGACTGTTCACTCGCAGTTATAAATGACACTGATCATATCCTATTATTTTTAAACTTAGAAGGAAATTCTTTTCCAGTCATACACCTTCCTAAATGTGTGAAGAAATCAGTTAACCAAGTGATCCAGGACAAGTTGTAGACTCCCCTATTCCTATGAATATGGAACACAAACTGCTCTGAGTGAAATATCAGTAAAAATGAACCAGTAAAGAGAGATTCTATTGGTAATTGCCTATCCTAAATAGAAAGAGATTTCTTTATGCAAGAACTGAAGAAGGCAGTAAAGGAAAAAATGAAAATACCCTAGAAGAAATAGTTTGAGGCACACTCCTTTAGGTACTTATCTGCCAAATGACATTGTGAGGCTAAGTTAGAAAACCTTAATTAACCACTAAGAGTGCTGTTCTTATTACTTTCCTTTCAGAAGGCTGTTTCACAATCTCACCCTAAAATGCAAATTCCTGAGTAGACACAAACCAATTTTGATTTGCGATTTGTATAAATACTGAAGCAGTATTTAGGATTTTCCCAGGAAAGACTCTGCAACAGCATACAGACATAGCTAGCTATCAGCCATGCATCCTGTCATTGGCCGTAAGGAAAAAAAAGAAACCAAAAATGATACCACTAGATAACCATTCCTATCACGATCTTGTAATCTACAGAATAAATTAAGTAGCCCTTGTAGTACATATACAGACCAGAATATTTGTTATCTTTTGAATATTAGATTAAAAATATAGCTAGCTGTTTTCTCCACATATTTAGAATGAGCAACAACTTACCTTAAAGGTACTTAATGTAGCTAAATACATATATATAGTAATACAATGTATTAAACTAATTTTTCATAACGTATCAATATCAAAATACAAATTTTAAAAATGAAGTCTAAAGAAATAAGAAAATACAATAAAAACTTACTGAATGCATAGGTTCTCAGAAGGAATGTATTTCTTATACCTATAACATTGTTTACATTCAAGTCGAAATCCACATTGCTATTAGGGAGGAGAAAAAAAAAATCAAGCATCATAGTATTCAATTTCTGAATGTTTATTACAGATGAATGTTCATGACAGGTATGGAGAAATGTAATTTTAATACAAGGCCCTAGAAATTTTGTTCAGAGCTTTAAATGCTTTGATTCTATGGTTTTATCGTACCTGAGCCGCATATGGACTTGAATTCCTTCCTTATAAAAAAATGTAATTGTTATTACACATGAAGAATCTATAGTATACCAATTTAGACTTTAGGTCAACTTCAGATATCTTTTTTTTATTTTTCCTAAATCTTTCTCTCAGCTAGACTTGCACTACATGGTTTACTACAGGCAACTTTTGATACCAGGAAGGATTCTCTGAGGTATTAGTTTAAGAAATTATACCAGTAAACTTGAGAAAGAGAATTGGAAGAGGTTAGAAGGTAAGAGTCATTACTGCAAAGACAGTAAGGGAGAATCAGTACTTCAGAATAAAAAAAAAATCTGAATAAGTACTGCATGCATTGCAATAAACCAGCTTTAATAATTTTTATTCTATTAGAATTAAATAAGGCGAACAAGCACTAACCACTTTATTTACAACACAATCTGCCCCAACTTTGAATATCCTACTGCATATAGAGCCTAACTACTCACAGAACTCAAGAAATTATATTGCATTCATGGTCAATAAGACACTGCAACACTAACTCACAACAAGGAAAGCTGATTATAAGACAAAGAAGTAGCTATCTGTGACATCTAACTATTTTCATTTCACATTCGTAAGTGTCATTCACACAGCATTTGTTCGCTCAAATACTCCTTTGGATTTTCTTGACTATATAAAGGAGAACATGGACCTGAAATTCATTAAACTGGGTAAAGCACAAAAATTTGAGGCCTAAAATAATTTTTTTCATCTTTTAAACAAACCTTTTTTTATATTAAAACACTCTTTGCATCAGAAACACTGCATAATTTTAACTCTGAGTTAATATCAAGCATGACCTTTTATTTGTTTTGAGAATGTAGTATATAATAATACAGGAAATAAACAAGCTTAAGCTACCACTTCACAGTTATAAATGTAAGCACGAACACTAGTAAGAATATTAGCTGAATGTGTAAATATAATTAAAAAACGTGGGATTGCATGTGTAATTTCAATTAATCCAAATTGAGAAATGCTGTTTACCAGATGCTGATTCAAGCAAGTTCCGTTGTCATTATTTTGTACTCTACCATGCATGTTTAATAGCTACTGCAGTTGTGGAAAGAGAAAGGTTTTGTGTTGCTCCAACTCAAGTTCTACTACAAAGCACTAAAGAGAAGAAATGAGTCAACGGCACATCAACTGCAGCAGAAAAGGAAGTTTTTGTATCTTCTGTAGTAAAAAAATCTTGATAAGTAATCAAAGGCTTGTTGGGAAGGAGAGCCAGCATTGGAATAATTTCCTGGGAAAGACTACTAAAAAGAAAGATGGCAAGGCTTTAAGTGCAGTGGATCTTCCCTTACCTTTACAGCACTATAAGCCCCCAAATTTTCAGATTAAAAAAGGGAACAAATGCAAATTGAATGCTTTCTCATTCACCAAATCAAAGTATGGGGAAACAGTCATTTCCAGGCATATATGAACCATTGGTAACACACTAGAAAGTGCATCTCTAGATACAGAGATACCACCCACTACACTCAACCACCTCAACCTCCCAGCAGCTAGGCATCAAAAAACTGGTTTCCACAGGAAGCTTSTAATGTTTTGTTTCCAATTTTGGCAAAGACAAGCTTAGTGTCCTGGATACAGGATATCTAACCCACTTTTCAAGACTTCTGTGAAAAAACGAATGAATACGCATGTATTTGTACCTCTGAACTTACAAAAGATGAGGAGAATAAGAGACTGGAAAGAGACAGATGCTTAAATAGAAAGAGAAAACATGGATGGAGATGACAGGTTATGTATGAGAGATAACTATAAAGACAGAAAACAAAACCAACTACAATCAAAAAAACCCCCAGCCCCAAGTCATGATATTCCCTGCAGCTCTGCTCTTCTACAAAAGCAATACAGAAAACCAAATGATGAATAATACTGGTTTTTACTCTGCAAAAATATAATGTGCTGCCTCTTAGAAGTCTTAGAAGATTATACTTTGATTAAGTGGGAAATAAAGAGTTCTTTAAATCCTGTCTGTAAGGTAAATAATTATCATGACTTTTAATTTTTTGAAAGTGACTGTATTATGGACTGTAAGTGCCTACAAAAAGATGTCAGTCTCTCACACAATCATTTCCATCCAGTTCCACATTTAAGGTTTCTTTTTAAAGTTTATTTTCTGGTTTTAAATGGGAAAAAAAAAATATTCTTGCTATAATGCCATAACTCATTCAATATTTACACCAGGAATTTACCATTTCATGTATATATGAAAAGCATAGCACTGCTATATATAGCTAACCCACATTTTAGCTTGACAAGTATAATACTTTTACAAAGCATGGAAGAAACTTTTGTAGTGTTAGATGAGAAAGTCAAAAATGTTCAATTTTTTAAAGGTAGGCAAGTATACTCAAGTAAATACAGGACTAAGTGTAAATGAAGAAAAAAGTAAAAAGCAAAAACCCCAACAAGTGTATGTAATTTCAGATGAAACAAAGGTTAAATTGATGATATACATTATTTAAATTGTAAACATGACAGATTTAGTTTTATCAGAGAAGTAACCTTGTCATGATAAAAGCACATCATGATAAAAACATATGAAATACTTTCATAAGGAGAGGCCAGGGAAGTGGTCTTATTTATTTTTAAAAGATACAGGGGTGCAAAATTTTACAACCATAYGGACAGGTTAAGACAGCTACATGAAAGCTGTTCAAAGTTCAATTTACACAGAAGAATGAAACTTGTTACACGATATGTAGCAGCTTCATATAGTAGCATAAACTTAGCCAAGGAACACCGGAAGACAGGAACATAACACAGACTGTCAACATGTTTTAGTGCTTTGCATAAGTTTTTCCTCTGTCAAACACTTCTATCACATACAATAAGAAATACATCATTCTCTGTCCTACYATACCATCTAATTTATTCTCATGTCTTCATAATGAAGATACAATGAATACAAGAAAACATCATCACAAACTAAATTGTTTCAGTGTTGTTTGTACAGCACAAATACCCTCAATTAGGCCTTAAGTAGCTAATAGTTGTGACTGCACAGCAAGCAAAATTATATTTCACAACAGTTTTCTTCCTACCATTGTTTTTCTGTCCTAAACCATTTGTCAATTTGGAGGCCACTATGAAAAAATAACCCACAGAAACACATAGTGTACTGTTTCTAATTCACATCACAGGAACTGAACAGCATCTCAGACACAAAAGGTGCCTCAGACCATCAAGCAAATAAGCTGACTGCCACTACGTGCTAGCTCYACAAATCTGCAATACAACCATGGCACCACACAAATAAACACACATAACAGTGGGACTACTCCTAAGGACAACACACATATAGAATACTTCCCCATATCAAAGTCTAAAAAATTGAACAGAATACTTGCCTGACTTTATCCCTGAATTTCACTATTGGCACTTTTGCTCTGATCAGCTGAGGTCGCTCAATGTAGCTTGCTGAAAGGAGAAAAACATGCAATTAAGTTTAACATAAAATGTGCCTCTTAATAAAAGATCCCATAATAGAGTCTTATTGACTGATTTACAGCAAATGGCACTTCATTAAATTTAGAAAATACATTCTCAAGAGGGTTGTGCTAAACTAGAATAACCTTTAGCAGCTGTAGCAAAAGAAAATCTAGGAACGCTGGTGAAAAAAACAACACATTAAATATTAGCAAAGAAACAAGAACATAGAGTAGAAGACTTTTCTGTGGGAAATACATTCCAGAAATTTTAACATAAGGAATGCAATACTACAATGCTTTCATGGAACAGTACTTGTAAGAGAAATTCTGAATAGTTTATAATTAAATTTCAAAAATAAAAGTACCAGGTACATATTCAACCAGGATGGGCTAGTATTTCACTGATATGCTTAAAACTTGTTTTGAAAATGGTTCAATTGAATGATAAAGTACATACTAGAAAATACCACTGAAAACAGGACAACTCTTTCTATCAAAGATGGCATAAGGTTTATCTGCTTTTTGCTTTCACAGTGATAGGACATGCAATAAATTCACATTGATAATGACTATCGACACAGAACGAACATATAGACTCAATGCCAGAGCATCCAAACTCACATATACTAATATCAGCCACTCACATGGTGCCACCAAACGCACCCTTCACACACGGCTCCCCAAAACTGTTGCATCAGTCATATTATTGTGATTTCCCTATATTTCATGATACCTCGGCAAGTATTCAGTAGCTGCCCATAATCCTAAATGAACAATGTGATCAAGAAAGTAATGGAAGAGAAGGAAAAGTAGAGCCTGTAGGTCGCATCATATGAATTTGGGCAAAAGGAATGATTTTAGCAATTACTTCTGTTGCCAAATCTAGGACCAATTGAATTTGTCCATATTCAAAATCACACATTTTTCCCATTGTTTCTATAAATTAACCTCAAATTCACATAAATAAGTATGGCACAGTACAAGTACTAGAGACTAAAAATAACCTTGAATAAAACCTGACTTTTTCTTTCCCTCCAGAAAGAACGAAGAGGTTCTTGTATCAGATAAATATCCACCTTGATTAAACAGCATAATCTCCATTGTTTTTGGATGACAAATTCAGATTTGGTGGAACACTGTTGTGCAATACTCAATTAAAACAAACTTCACCTTTTCTTTTCAAGACTTTCTGAAACTGTTTTATGGATACACATGTTTTGACAGATTTGACCTGAGGCACTCTTTTACCTGGATTTTAATGCATTGGACAAGCCTAATCAACACTCAGAATAAAAGATAATCTTTCAATTTACATTAATGGGAGAAAATTAAATAAATAAYTTCAATTAATGTTCACTGACTGCAACATTTAGTATAACTTACACAAGCATCTCCCTCTTCTAGCTGCACCTTCAGACACATCCAGGCATCTTTCCTCCAGCATCCCCTAATACTCTTAAAAGTGAAGGTATAACCCTGCAGAGCTCTCTGTTTCCTTTTCTTTCACTATCAAATTTAAGACAAAGATTCCCAATGCATTAGCACATGATAGACAATGGTGGGTGTCTATCTGTACGCCATAGCAATTGAACTTTCCTCACTATGACCCTTCCTAATGCTCTTCAGAAGTTAACTGAACTCATTCTAGTGACAATCCACTTCCAAACACATCCTTGCATGCAAATACCTCCCTACACTTAATGGATGCTTATGTCAAATTAATTAAGAAAAAAGATACAGCCCAAAACACAATCCTAATCTGTTTCACAGGGTGGTAAAAAGTAAGGAGGAAGTTAGAAGAGCAAAGAAGACACTAGAAGGCAGGAACTTCCTGCTGGTACCCTACTTCTTGGCTCAGACCAATGATTCTGTTAGCAGAATCTATATTGTATCTTATATATACATACAGGGGAAGAAACCGTCACAAACACAGGATGTGGAATTCTGAAATACATACACGTTGAATAAGTGCCTAAGTAAACTGACTATGTGATCTTGAAATCTCTATGACCAGAGAGGTCACACCAAAATACATGAAAAGAAATCTATACAGCTGCTCCAGTTTTGGGCATGTCTATGAAAAAAACATGAACATGACTTCAGTTTAGTAAAAAAAGAATATAATGGCTTCAAAAGAGACTGAGCACTGGTTCATACATAACTTATTCACGCAGATTTCACATTGAACAGCTTAATTCTCTCTTCTCTTTTACAGAAAAAAAATATTAAGCAATTGTACAGAATATTAATCCCAAACACAGCATATGCCAAGAAGATCTTTGGCACCCTGGGCACACAGCTGGCTCTCAYTGATTGGGTTACACTATGGGAGGAGAAACTTCAGCAACACAGAAGTCTGAATCCACATTCATGAAGACTCTAGGATGGTACAGCCCAGCACAGGATGAAGTAACTGCCTAATTGTTGGAATTTACTCACCAACCTGCACAGTCCCTCAAAGCTATTCAATTGAATTCAAATTCCTTTGCTTGTCTCAGTTGTTACACATTTCCCACTAGACCATCATTAGGACTGTTTCCACTCTGACACCCTAGTCTCAACACTACAAAATCTCTTTGTAACTCTAAAAGAAAATGAGCTCTTTGTTATTTATGCAGATAGCATATACCTGTGAACCCAATAATGCCAAGGTGTTTTTCAAATTTATTCTGCACAGATGAATTTGAAGTGAGGAATCAGTCTGACACTTACTCTCAGTGGTTTAGATTCAACCTCTTCCGTTATCTCCCCAAATTAATCCTTCACACTTCTAAAAATATTGACTTCAGCACACAGTTCTGGGAATGTAAGCCAATCTTGTAAAAAATACATATATATGCAGGTATCCAAACAAATAAGCCAGGAAGTTATAAGTGATCAGTTAGTACTCGAAACTGGTTATATATTTGCTATCCCTACATCTCTCTACTCTAGGAGAAACACAATACACACCTTTAAGACTAACACATCCCAGAAAAACAATGAATAAATACCAGAAGCTTTTCCTACTTTTCTGTGTGATTAGACTGTTCCAAAAAAAGAACATTTTCTTTTCAGTTGGTATTCTAGATACAGAAAGACAACACAGAAAAGCCTCTGTTCTAAGACTTAAAATTTGATGGAYTAAAACTCCTTGCTTACACTTGTTACCTTTTACAAACCTGAGACAGAAATAAGATAGAGCAAATTTTGAAATTAACTTCTCAAACCCCCTAATCTAACAACCACATTCAACTCTATATAAAAGATAAAAGAGATGACACCTGAAGTTCTGAAGACAAAACAAATTGTGAGACTGATCTAATTTTTACTTGGAATGCTTCTTCATTTATCAATCATGGATTTAAGGCGGCATAAGCACAGAATCACACTCTTACTGTCCTTCTTTGGAATGCACGGGAACATTGCAGAGTGCAAGAACAAGAGGGAGATGTTATGAGAGGCACAGACAGAAATAACTTCCTCCAAGTTTCTAAAACAGTGATCTGGAAAAAGGTTTAAAAAGCTCTAAAACTTTACCTACACCACAAATATCCTCCATATTTCTTTTTGTCCTTTAACTCTTTCACAAAACCAGAGCAAGAACTTAATTTCAAATAGCATCTTATATTTTCCTGCTCCCATTGTTTCTCTTACATCTTGGCACACACTTTCCTAGCTTACATGTTTGGCCCAAACAATGTTTATTTCCATTCTCTCATGTAAAGCAACAGTAAGTTTTACAACTACTCATGACATTTGTTGAGAACCTGTTGCAGTCTTTCTTCTACAGAAGAAAGACAAACTTAACTAGTATTGCCAAAGAGGTATTACCTTAAAATTATAGGATAGCATCATACATGCTAACAGGATGGCACAAAATGTGAAAATAATTACCAGAAACAGCTTCAGACATTTTAGGTAGACAGGCTGTCCTTGATTTGTAGTAAGCACTACTGAGCAACAACAAAAGCTTCAGTGTGTTATCAACATTATTCTCATATTAAATCCAAACCACAGCGTAGTACCAGCAACAAAGAAGAAAATCAACTATCTCAGCTGAAACCAGGATACCACTTTTTCCAGAAGTACTAAACCTTGGCATTGTTGAGCTACAGCTTGTAAATAAGCTAAATCAAGGTGGCAGAGCCTTCTCATTTTGAACATTTTCAAACAAGTCAGTTAAGTTTTATTCACAAAACATCCATAGACAGACATAGCACAGACTGCTAGGTATAGGAATTAATACCACAAAGATGTTAAGATATTCTAGAGATGATACGGGAAACTATATACCGCAACTACGAGAACCTGACAGGAGTGGTAATCTCAGTAGAGTCTTGTCCTGTCTTACCTTCTAAACAACATTCTGATTAATTCAAGATGATCAAATGCACTTGCAAGATAACAGAGAATTAGGAAAGTATCAAAAATGGACAATGACACAAATACCTTTGAGAATCACTTGCACATGACCATCATACCTTTCTGATATTACTAAACACACTTGATTTTGTCTAATGCTCTGTCACAGAACAGAAGCTCTTGAAAAACTTTGCTCATTTAGAAGCTCCCTTTCTGATCCCTGAAAACACACCTTTTTTGTCACTGTGCTATCAGAAAGCCCTAGAGAGAGCTACACCACAAGCAAATCCAGATTAATCTTCAGATTTACACAAATGCCCATATATAATAGTGATAACCATTAAATATCAGATCTATGTATCAGCAATAGATCATTAAGTCTTTCTTCCAAGTGAGCTGTTAAAATCTGTGCATGCATGCTTGCCAATGAAGAAATTTTGAAGTCTGCATTTAAATTCATGGTTCATTCCTTTTAGCACTGAAGGATTGTTCAGAACATCACTATGTGGAGCAGCATCAAAGAATGTATCACAAATTTGGGAAGCAGGGTGGTAAAGTCATTGATACCAGTAAATGTTGGGGTATTTCATAATTCAAAGCGTGAGACAAAAGTCTCTTTGAAGTAAAAGACTTTCATATTTAAGTCAAGAACTGCTCATGTGAATTCTTAATTTGAAGGGAGGCTAAACAACGATCTGTAAAAACTATGAATTGACATGTTTTATCTGCATGGGCTGGTATTATCAACACTTACTACTTTCTTCATTAGACACCTAATTTAATTACTTCACTTTTCAAAAAAGAAAATATCAAGTCTTCACAATCTACTGAGAGTGACATCTTATTTCACAAATTCTTAAGTGTATTTTTCCCAGGAGGACACTGTAAGCTAGATTATCAAGAGTTCATTAGCAGAGGTCTCCCAAACAGAAATCTACTCCTGTCTCATTGTGTTCCATAATTCAAAAGTCTTCTGAAATAYCACCCATTATCGAAGTCTACTAGTTTGCAAGAAAAACTGTAATTTATCTAATTAACATTTATTGCACTAAGTAGCATTATCAAATATTTATAGCTATTCTTCAAAGAGTACTGTGATTAGAACCTAGACAAGATGCAATTACATACATTAGCTGCAATTGTGTATCAATATTTCTCCAGAATTGCCCATCACCTTACTACATCACTTTAGACAGTAACTTACAAAGTTTAGTACTGAAGAGTTTGTGGACTAAGCTGAGTATACGTCTTGCTTCAGTCTTCTGATTCACCTGAAATGTGGTATTAAAAAAAATAAAGAAGTTGGTATCTCTCATTTAAATATTCAAAGTAAACATGCTTTGCTTTTAAAATAAAATTAACTTCCAGAATAAGACATGAACATGCACACCAACACATTCTACAGTCTACATATAGATTTATCACGGCAAATGCCAGACAGAACAATCCATATTCAATATGCAAAGTGATTATCAAACATTCAACAATCACAGACCTAGATGAAAAATTAGTCCCACTTATACAAAAATATCSTCTTCTTCCCATTAAATGATATTTCAGCTCTTTCAAGATTATGGTCTATTTAGATTTCCTTTAGATGTCCTTTCTGTCAACCTAATTTTTACTCATAATGTTTCCTCTCACTAAAAATATTTAAGATATTTTGTCTATCAAATTAATTTTTTATACCTGATCACTAAAACAGGTACCTATGAATCAAAATTTTACTTATTAAAAGTGGTTTCTGTATCTGAAAGAGTTCACCAAACTATTTTCTTCCTCATTCTATGCATTTGCTTCCATTTTGCTGTATTTGTTTCTTTTTATTTCATTTATGAATTGAAGGGAAAACTTTAAAAAATAAGTTTTATTAGGTTTATAGGGTTGAACTCATATCTGCACACTACTGGGCCCAYAGTTCATAGCTATGATGAATGCAAAACTATGTCATTAAAACAAAAAAATCAGAGCAGTTTTGTATCATTCAGGATCCAGCCTTTTAACATAAAATCAGACTTTGTTTTAACTATGTATGTTTTAAAATACTTACTGGTTCTTCTTTAACCACCAGGCACAAATCACCATCACTAGTACGAGCACCAAATCCATTCAATGACGACCCAACCAAAAAAAGTCTGCTCTCTGTAATAGAAGAGTAACAGAAAATAAACATGATGTGACATACTACAGTTTGAGAGGAAGGAAGAACCGCGAACCTGAAGAACATTCAAACTGATATAAAGTAATCAAATTCATAACATACGTGGAAAAATGAGCTGAATTTCTTTCTGCAGTTCTGTTCTGCAGAGCTCTTTTCGGTTCAAATCAGAGGCCTGCTGCCGACACGCTTGAAATAACTCCAAAACCTGTTGACTTAACTGGACACACACATACAAAAAGTAAAGACACAAAGAAGTAAATATTCCTTCCTGTCACAGATCCAATTACATGAAACACAGAAGGATGGGGTTTTTTAAATACAAAATGCAGCACCATTTCACCTGACCTACTCCACTATCTAAAGTTTTACTGCACTTAAATTCACAATGAATAATTCCCTAGAAGAAATTGCTGCTAAATTTTTAAATTTAAATTTGCTCTATTTTTTATAAAATGTCAAACCACAGAAAATCATTTTTGCATCAGCATACACAGCCTTTCATGGAATAATTACTGAAAGACCAGAGACTTCTGCTGACATTAATGTCAACAGTTTGCCTACCAGTAATGGGAAGAAAACAATTATTTAAAAACCTGATTTAAATTAGCTTTCTTTCTTATCCCATATAAAGTATTAAAGAAGTAGTCAGATCGTTGTTGGAAGAAGGTATTAACTGCTTTCCTTTCACCCCACTGTTACATTCTGTAACAGGCATATTTACACTAAAAAACCCAAAACCCTTCTGTCACGTGGGTGCCGAACAATAAACAGGTCTAAATTACACCATATTCTCTTCTGTATTCAAGAACAGCTATGACAGTAACTTTTATGCCCTCTTGAAAAGAGGTAGGGAATATCTTCACAGGCCCAAGACTGCATTTATTCAGAATGGGCTTGTCTCGTATTACCGTGATGGGGTATTTCAGTCAGGATTTTCCCCACCACTTTATCGTGTGAGAAATGGACTATTTCCCCAATTTTTACTTCCTAGAGCAGACACATAGGTTTCCTGACATTAGGATGGAAATCAAGTAACACTAGGAACCAACACCCATGTCCCCTGCCTCCATAAAAATGCTCCAAATCCAAGTACACACAAGGAGGTGATACTGAACCACAGTGGCAGCTACACTTATTAATACTCTTCATGGAGCTTAGCAATAGATGACACTACCAAAAACCCTTGCACAGCACCTCTCGGTAGGTGGGTGCCCACTTGGAAGACAGAAGTAAAGCACAGAAAGCCATTACCTCATCCTTGGCCACAGGGAATCCGGTTTCCGTAGGGTGTGGAAACAAAGGATCTTGCAAAGGAGGTACACATCCAACTAAAGCTGGTGAGCCACGTGCACGCAACACCGGAGACTGAATTGAAACTGATGCTGGAAAGGAGTGTCTACGTTCTTCTGGTAAAGGCACTGCTTGGTTTACTACAGTTGTGTCAGAATCATGTGAATGAATCCGCTGCCGTTTGGCATCATCTGGAACACTTTGTTGACTTGGTCTCCTAGAGAGAGAGAGAGACTATGTAATTCCTCTAGTTCATAAATTCAAACTTAGGATTAAAAGACAGTTTCTACAAAGGTTCAAGACTAATGCTTAATGATGCAACTACTTCACTAAGCCCAAGCACTCTACAGAACAGGTATGCCTGTCCTAGGTCCTATGTGACACAAACCTGGAATGGTACAAGAGAACATAAAAACTACAAAAGTGAAGCTACCCTAGGATTGGATTGATGCCATTCTTTAGGGCAAGTGTCTGCACTAACCAACTGAAATTCAAATGACAGGTTTGGTTAAGCTGACTGCAAATCTCCAAACTTTCCATAAAACAGACTGCTCAAGAGGAAAATATGCATGCACCACGAAACCAGAGAGTTCCTTAGTTCATGGGATAATTACATACTCAACCATAATTTAACAGCATATATGCGATTACATTTATTTTTTCATCTGTTACATCTAGAAAAGAAATAGCACACAGGAGCTAGTACTGAAGACAGACTACATAGAAGAACCTCCTTCCAATCAGCTGATTCACAGACTTATTAAAAACATGTATCAACTAGCATACCTGAACTGATAAGAACTGATTTTTTTCAAAGCATTAAAAGAAAAAAAACCCTACGTTCACCTGAAATTTCCCTTTCTGTGGTAACTAAAGTAACAAAGTAAGTAATTAAAAAAACTAGAAAAACTAGGTTTGCATAAAATTCTCTTTAAGAAAAAGGAACTTACATATGCTTGAAGTTAACACTTGGTATGTGAAAAGTAAAACATCACATAATTATGAAAATTAGGAAAACAACTAATGTGTCATCAGGGAAACAGAACAATTCCATAAAACCCCGACAAATTAACAGGAAAAGAACATTTGTTGACATAAGCCAGCTTATAGTCAAGTCCAACCAGGCTACAATCCACTGCAGTATTACAATAAATCACTCAAATCACTTCTGCAAGGCTACAGCTGTAGGAGATAAAAACTACATATAGGAAGCTGCTTAAGAGCAACTTATGAACAATTTTTGAGATTCTCAAGAACAGGTACAGTGCTTTAAAGAGCCAATACATAGCCTGTTTTCATCAAAATGAGAAAAGTATTCAGTACTGCAATTTTTAACATAACTCAAGTTGCATAAGAAATTGTTATCAGATGAGCTTCACAATGGGTATGTTACAACCAGTATTAGTCACACACATGCAAAGAACTTACTTTCTTCCTTGAAATGACGTCAGGGCATCAGATGTAGACACTGGACTGACACTTCCATAAGTCATTGGTTGCAGTGTAACAGCTGGAGTAACAGCTGGAGTAGCTTCAATGTTTCCACTCAAAAGAGCTCTAGAAAGACTACAGTCCATATCCATTATTCGTAAGATAACTAAGATGATTTTTATGGGTTGGTAGTTTTTGTTATGTGAATATTAAACTCTAGAAGTCCTGCCTTTTTTATTTCTTAGAAGCAATACATCTTTCTTTTCTTTCAAAATGAATACACATTTCAGTTTAGGAGATGTATTTCATTAAAAACAGAAAATGGTCATTCTGGACAGCATATGTGTAAGAAGGGGTTAGGAAACAAATTAACTTAAGGAACTGTTAGATTCGAAAGCCTAGAGAACATCCATGTCTTCAAATATAGAGCCAAGAATAAATGTTTTTTCCCCTTCTCATCTCCTCCCTGTTCTCCCCAATAAACAAATACAACTGAAGATTTTTAAAACTGAACTGTGAACTGTGATTAGAGCTGTGGATTAACAGCTCTAATCAGTGCAATAGCATCTCACGCATTATGCACAATGCAGTATTAAGATTTGCACGTCTTTAAGAGAAACAATACAGCACTTTTTTATATGTGACATCTTCATGTTTTGTGACGTTCAATGCAGTTCAATGTTAAAAACAGTTACAATCATCCTCGATAGAYAGAAATACTTTTTTCAGACCCAATCCCCACTACCAAATGTTACTATACTTACACTGCAGTGCGGAAATTAAATGGAGGAACAATAATTTGCTGGTGAGAAAGAACAGTAGGAGGTATATTTAGAGGAAGTTTAGTGAAAAAAGTACTCTGTTGTTGATATTTTGGAGAGAAGGGTGGACGACCCAAGTTGGAAGAATTTGGGAACATGCTTCCTTCTACTTGAAGTGAACATGTATCCTTTTACCTACATTAAAAAAAAGGAAAAGAAATTGGAATAAGGCCAGAAGAAATACTAGATATCTTTCAAGCTCTTGGTTTAAAAATTCAAGTAATCTAGAATATACTTGCAGGAATCGTCTAAGACAATTGTGACCACACGATAGCTTTTACTGCCTTTGAGGACAAGACACTAAATATAAATACTTTATACTCATAAGTTTCATAATTACTGCTTACTTTACTTATGTTTAAAAGTGAATTTTTATTTGGTCCCCTCCATTTTAAGTTTAGAAAAATTACATGTCACAAGATATAAGAGATTTCATCTCAGGGAAAAGTACCATGTAACAGTGGAATTTGTTTCATATTTCAAACATTCCACAATGAGGTTCATCATATATGGAAAAAACCACTTGACTACCTCATAAAAACATGAAGATACAGCTGATCATGAACTACATGCTATATCATGAAGTTAGTATTTTTTCGTGACATGTATTAAAGTAGCCAGGTGATGACACGAACTGCATAATCTGCTCATGCTTTAAGAATATCATACATATACAGTATTATTTTAGTACAGAAAAGACTTTGTGATAGCAAAATGTAGGTTTACTATCTGATAAACTTAAAATTGGTCCTGGCACAACTGGCCAGATAGCTCTGACTGTCACTGCAGGCAGCATTAGAACAAAACATATGAAAATGAATAACGAGGAATTCATGCGGTTGAGTTTGGCTTTGTTCCKTATTTCCTGTCATGACAACACACAGTAGTGGAATTGTAAATGCATAGACACAGCTTTTTCTTGGAGCTAGTGCAGCAATTACAATTCTTTCCTACTCCCTCCTCCCCCCACCCCCCATATGACGGGATGGGTGAGGGGAAGCATTATTATTTGGATGCTCACTTTCAGTTCTGCCGAAGAAATGACACCGACTTGCATGAGTTACATAACAAGAAAGTCACTTGACACTTAATCTGAATGAGTATTTATGTGCTGTCCAAACTTCTCCATCTCTAGCAGATAGAACAAGTGATAACATGCCTAATTCCCCTCTGAGCAGACTAGGAACTCTCCAAAGCACACACAATACACATAAACCGTTTATAGATACAATTAGCTAGTAACAGAACCATGAACAATAATTTAAGACATAGCCACCGAAGTAATCGCGYTCGGTTTAGCCTTTGGAGCTGCAAATTCCAGGAAGAGAAGCAATGGAGGAAACACCTTCCCCAATCCAAACCAGTGTAAGCAACACCGTTGCCTCTCAATAGCGACAACGTTACCGTGACTTTCAGCACTGGTTAGCACTCGGCAGGAATTGCCGAATTCCCCTGAACAGTGTCGTAACTTAAAGGAGTTCAGGTATCTTTGTCCCGGTGCTTACAAACAAGCGCGTACTTCCCACAGATACACACAAGTGAAGCGTGGAGGCGAGCCCAGGCGCATGGAGTCCCCTGCCTCGGTGCCAAGATAAGAGTCTCGGGCCACCGCCAGGCCCGAGGCTGAGGCTAAGGGCCGACCCCCAACACCACTCCCTGTCACGATCACGCGGGACCCCCACAGGACACTCACGCAGGGCCTAAGCAGCTGCAGGCGGAGCGGACCCGCGGGACGCACCGGAGACCAGCTCCTGCAGCCGAACGCCGTCCCGTCCCCGGATGCAGAGACGCCGCAGGAAGGGGCCGGGATGCGGCCGGAAAAGGGCAGGAAGAGGCCGGGCCGCCGCAGGAAGCGCTCCCTCCGCCGGCTCCCGCGCCCCTGCACGATCGCCTTCCCCGGCGCACGCCCCCTAGCGGCGCGGCGCGGCGCATGCGCGGTGTGGCTCCGGCTGGCCGGCGGTGGCAGCGCGGGGCGGGTGCGCGCGCCGCCTCCGTGAGGGCCGCCTGAGAGCCCGCGGTGATGGGCGCAGCGCTCCATCGACACGSGTTCCTGGCCGGGGCCCAAAGAGACATGACAGTGCAGCTGGTCTGCTTTCTGTCATTACTAACCGACTGTAAGTAAGCTACTGTTCAGAAATATGTCCAAAGTATTGTGTTCAGCTAAATAGATTAGGATTTGGCTAATACGAACTGTAGACGTGCTAGGATAAATCTGAGGCTATGAGCAGAGCAAAGTGCTTGCTCCCTGAAGGATGATGACTTCAGAAGACAGAAGAAAAATCACAGAATCATAGAATCATGAAGGTTGGAAGAGACCTCTAAGATCATACAGTCCATCAACCATCCACCTGGCACTACCACTGTAACCCCTAAACCACTAAACCATCACCCAGCACCAGATCCAGACACCTCTAGAACACCTCCATGTGACTCAGCTGCCTCCTCAGGCAATCTATTACAATGCTTGGCCCCCCTAATAATGGGAAGAAAATGCTGTAATATCAGAATCTCTCCTGTCTCAGTTAAAGGCCTTTCCTGTAATCCTGCAGACACCCTTGGAGAGATGATCTCCCACCTGGCTAGACCTTTCTTTCAGCAAATAGTAGAGGGCAATAAGGTCCCCCTTCAACCTATTCTTGAGACTAAACAAACCCAGCTCCCTCAGCTGTTCCTCATTTCATACGTTTTCTAGTCCTTTCACAAGCCTTGTTGCCCCTCACTGGACACACCCCAGCACCTCAATGTCCTCTTTAATGGGATTCCTTCTTGGGGAGGACACTTACCATAAGTAGGTACAGAAACATTGCGTTTGTGCAAACACACGCTTTTGAAACTCCCACCTTTGAGAGAAAAGGAGTAAGTTGAAGGCTTGCTCAATTTCAAAATGCTTGTTTGAGGGCTTGCTCAGCTGAGAGCAGTCAACAGCTAGTGTTACCATGGCTTAAGGCTCTGGCTACTCATAGATAGACTTAACAGATAAAAAGGAGACAGAACACAGGCCCAGTGAAGTGGGACGGGCAAGAGAAAGTTGTTCTATGAAAAAACTTTATCATGAAGGAATGGGATCTTCATACAGGGGTCAGCTCATGGCTGTAGTTAGCCTTACATTTATGAGAGATAAATCTTTACAGTACACTTGGATGAAGATGCAAATCAAAGTTCATCCATTAAGAAATTTCTCTTAAGAACTTCATATTCTAGTGAGGGGACTGAGGCTGCTTGGGAGGCTGGRATGAGACACAGCCAGGACWGTGATGCAAACTGACAAAGGAATATTCCAGACCATGTGACATCACACTCAGTATATAAACTGAGGGGAAGAAGAAGAAGAGGGGGGCATTTGTATGTCTTCTCAAGTAACTGCAATTTGAAATGTTGCCCAGCTGTCCTGGGGATGACTGAACACCTGCCTGTCCATGGGAAGCATTGAATAAATTCCTTATTTTGCTTTGCTTGCATGCACGGCTTTTGCTTTCCCTATTAAACTATCTGTATTTCAACCCATGTTTTCTAACTTCTGTCCATCTGATGATGTCACAAATCCTACAAGATTTGTGAGAAGTGAGGAAGTGGCTGGTGTGGTGCTTGGTTGTTAGATAGGATTAAACCATGACGATCTTTCTGTGCTATTTGTTTGGAATCAAGACTTAACCTTCTAGTTCCTGCTCAAGATGGAAACTTTCTGTCTTAACTGCTGAGTTAGTGATACAACTGCTAATAGCCAAAGTTTCCCAYGTGGCCCATTCCCACGGTGTTCTCCAGACTGTTTGACCACTCATCATAATCTGCGATTAACCAAAATCATGTCATGCTTCTAGGTTTCTCACATGTACCATGGGCCCTACAATAAATATAATGTAACACAATCTTCTGGCAGCAGGCAGTGTTTATAGCAGGGTATTAAATATCAACATCCTTTTATACAGCAAAAATGAAAAACAAAACAAAACAAAAAAAAGAAAATAATATTTAGGAATGCTTTTACTAACTTGTAAATGGAATGATTGAACTAACTTGTGTTGCTATGATTTTTTTCCTGGCGTCCCTTTCCTCTGCTCTTTGATTTTGTGTTTGAATCAATTTAGATACKAAATAACCTTTTTTCTTTTAGGCACAGACTGTTCACTCTTAAAGATTTTTTCCCCATGTCTTACCTGCATTCAGTTGTCAACCTAGCTACACATTTCAGTGAGGCACCTGAAGTAACCTGACATTTTACAAATTGCCAACAGCCTTCTGAGACAAATCTCTGTGCTTTGATGTGCTGAGAGATGTTCTATTTTTTCAATGTATGCTGTCTTACTTCCTGACCCTGGCTGTGATCTCAAAGAGTTTACAGATACTTTTCTGTTAGAAAAGTCATACAAAGCTTTACTTCTGGTTTTAGTCAGGAATCAGACTGCTGGTCAAGAGATACTCAACAACTATACAACAAAGAATTTGAGAACTTGAACTCATAATTCCAACAGATTCCCCCAAACAAAATGGCATTAGGACTGGTCTTGTGTTTCTGTCTCAAAAGATGCTTGCTTTAGAACAAAAATGCTATATTTATTGTAAAAGAACAATTTGTGTAACTAATGTATTTGAACAAGAGCAATGAAATTGAATGATCAATAAAGGAAATATATGAGCTATAATAGAAGCAGAGTATAAAGTCAGCTTCTATAAAGTACAAAATATAATTAGTTCTGATATGTAGGAAAGAGAGTGGTTTCCAGAAGTAATTGACAAAGACATCTCGGATAAGCCATCTGCAATCTCTTTCATAGCTTGAAAATCTTTATGTAACATTAAAGTCCCTATCTGGTTCTTTTTTTTCCTGAAACTTTTGGAGCTGAAGTGGTCCARCTCTCTGGAGGTAAACGCTGATGGAAAGTCTGATCAAAGCATCTCAATTTTCAGTAGTTAAAGGAGGTAAAATTGAAGAATAAAACCCAATTCTTCTGTGGAAAACTTTGTCTTATCKTTAGAAAGTATACAGATTCTATTATTTCCCTCTTGGTACCAGAGAAGGCCTATGGGAGCTTGGACAGGTGTATGGTTAGAATATGTTTTACCATAGCAAACAGCTGTATTAAAGAGCACCTGTACTTCTGCACTTCATCACTTCATTAAGAGTGATGAAGAACATGTATTTTATACCCTCTCCCTACTGGGAAATTATTTATCTTACTTGGAACATTTTTTCAGTTTCAAAACCACCTGTAATATATGATCATTTATGATGCTAGCCTCCAGGACCAGTTCTGAAGTAATGAAACTTGTGTCAATACATAGCTTCATTTTAAGTGTCCCTTTTTCATGTTTAGTAATGAAACCAAACATAGCACRTACATTAGAATAAAAAATGTAACTGCAGTGAAATAAATGGTGCTAGAACAAGGATTAATACAGTGCAGGATCCACTGTGAAGACTGAAGCTTTTTAGTCAGGATACTCATATTGACTGTTGTGTAGTTCATTTAGAAATTAGGATATTCTGGGACTGAAGCCAAACCAGAGACTTAGGTCTAAAATAAATTTTATGTACCAGGGAAAAAGCAGCTTTCCCCTGAAAACAATACAAGATTTTAATAATAATACAAAGAACGTAAGTTAGATGTACATTAAGAAACAATGGCACAATGTAGTAAAAGCAGGATTCAAAAGTTTAGCAAGTAAATACTGAATGAAAAATTAATAATTAGTTACACAAATGCAGTATTTTTTCCCCACCGTGCAGCTTTCTAGTTCTGATATTCAACCTTCACTAGTTTCAGTGATGCTCACATATGCCTTACATTCAGTATGTTAATTTGATATATGTATAGATAACACATAATATACACATATATGAAATGTAATTAGTATCATAGGCATTGATATGAAAAAGTGAGATCATTCTGCAAACATGTATGTTAAATCTGTGAATTCCAACTGAAAATTGTAAAATCCAGATAAAATCTAGATTTAATAAATCTATAATAATGATTTATAGCAAAATATGTATTTACAGTTACCTTTGGGTCTTCTTCAGACRAGTATTTTGTAGTGCACCATTTAGATTACAGTTGCAAATATGCTATGTGAATTTGATGAGATTTAAGGTGTTATGATACATGGTTAATGCTCTGCTGTGGTTAGATTAGTAAGTAATTACTAGCAATTTTATTATTTCCGTGCTTTGTTTCTGTAAATATTGTAATTACACTTCTTTAAATGCAACTGTTTTAAAGGAGGGTCTAAGTTTTCCTAAATTTTACAATTTTCTCTCTTGTGCAAAGAAAGACACATTTTAAAATTAATACACGGTAGATAATGCCAACTAATTCTGCACAACTCTACAAAACTGGGGAGTTTTCCACCTAGTTTTGTTTTAACCCATTGTAACCTTAGGAATTCATGTACTTCATGCCCTAATCTAGTCAGTTAAGTTTTGGAAGGATATGCCTGATATGTTSGTTTTTGAAGGTTAGTATTTTAATAAGGAATTTTATTGTTGTTAGAAAAGTCTAGCAATCTACTGTTAACAAATTTTTATAAGTGACTGAGAAAAAATAATTGAAGGTTAATAGGTCTGGAAGCAATACCTACCCATCAACTTATCTTCACATATATAGTAACATCCCCAAACTGCTGGACAGACAAATATAATTTTTTTTTTCTCTCACAAATTAAACATTTAATAAAATCASTATTATATCTGTTTTATATTTGATTTAAAATTGATAAATTTAAGCATGAACTTAGAATTTGTGAGTTCTCAATGAACATACTGARACTTGACCAAATTGGGAAAGTCCTCCTGTGAATTAATAAATAA